ACTTGGAATTGGGGCCTCACATAATGAAAAAGGTATTAGTTCAAGAAAACGACCTGTCTAGTAACAGGATAGGGCCCCATTACAATATTGAAAATGAACTGAAAGAAAACAAAGGAAATCGCTCAACAGGAAGAATGAAGCCTCTGATGTGCGTTAACCAGTGAATCAAAGTTGGGCATCATCTCTGTTGTTGCAGCGCGGAGCACTGTTGCAAGGCGGTTATTGCTTGTGTAAAATTTGATTTATGGACTTTCATTACAGAAAATGCCTGCTTACGTGTATGTTGATCCAAACAGCACAAGCATCTTCTGGGCATAAGCCTTGATCTTTGGAAACTTCTATTAATTGACAGAGGCATAAAACATGTGAAGCAGCACGGGTGTGAATTGCTCCATGAGCAATGTATCACATTGCAGGTCAATAAGCTCAAGTTGGAGGTAATATGGAGCATTGTCAACAGCAAATGTGAAAGATAGGGAGACCAAAAACAGGTCTATTTCTATCATTTGAAAATCCTTGAATTGGCAAGAAAATTCAGCATGCAAGTCCAGTAGAAATTATGTGCATTTTTTTAGGTTTTGATTACAAACGGTAATTTGTGGCAATGTAGAAAAATGGCTGAAATCCTTGTTTCCTATCTGATAGAAGAAAAGAAGTAACTTCTTCATAAATTACTTGACACTGGAATGCAATTCATGAGCAAAATGCCCCTTTCCTTGCAGTTGTGAATTCAGATCGTTCATGTAGCCCATGATATCAACAGTGAATGCAAAATCAGAGAGCCAACCAATCCGCATCATTCAGCTGTGGGAAATCCAGATATTTTCCTTTCATGTTCAAGAATGAGCTAATTGAGGCTCTCGGTTCCCACACTCTCCAAAACATTCCCCAAACTAAACCACCTACATTGCTACAATACAGAATATCTGCGTGCTCAGATTCAGGTTCCTCAAGCAGAGTTACAAATTTCCTGTGGTTTAATTCTCTTGCTCGAATGTAGCTGACCACTTTCATAACTGTGTTCATGACCGTGCTTAGCTCTGGAACACCTTTTACAGAGGACTTCTTGATGAATAATACAATGTAGAAAAATAACTTTCTGTTCTGGATTTGTTTCTTTGACATGGTCTGAAATTCTTTTCAGCAGTCCATCGTGTTTGCCTGTTGGATTTGGGCTTCCATTGGTGGTCACACTTATCAATTTTTTTCCACTCCACTCCCAATTTTGACATGCACTGTTTTACTGCCTGCAATAAATTTTTTTCGGTTGTCCCTTCATTGACTGCCTTGATGCCCGTTCTTCTATGAGCTCAAAATTTTCACTGATACTTCAAATGAAAATTAACAACTGGGCTGTGTCTGACTTCACAGCTCTCATTGAGTGCTAGTGCAAAATATGTGAAATCATTTACTTTGTTTTTCAACTGCTGGTCCAGGTTCTCAGAGAGATCCTCAACATCTCACAAGTTTGACTTGACAAGCAAACATTTTCAAACTTCTTTTTTCTTGTCTGGGCACAAAATCATGGCAGACTCAACAATACATTCCTTTACAAATTCTGCTTCAGAGAATGGCTTGCTTTTCTTGGTGATTTTGTGTACAGGCATGTCATTTGTTCTCGTAATTCCATCCTGCACTGCCAGTATTTTTGTGGAAAAAAACTTTGCTCTTTCTGCGTTCCAGCAACCATCTCCTCAGCTTTCTTCACTTTTTTCTTTGGCAGACAGTTTCTCATATTCAGCTGCATGCTTGGTTTCAGAATACTGATTTACAATCATATTTTCTTTGCAAATTGAGCACGCAGCATTTCCACCCACATTGGTAAACAAAAATATTAGAAGTCCATTCTTTGTTGAATATTTGGCATTCAGTGTCTACCTTCCTCTTCTTTGAGCTCATTTCCAATTTTTTTTTTCTCCTGTGCAGTGGTAATAGGGTGATTTAACTGTAACAGATATAACATACACTTACTGGTCAGATCCTGTTCTTTTTCCTTGTCAGCCTCCACTACCTGCACAGAAACCTCAGCAGGAGGAAAGTGAGGTCTGAGCCAATCTTATGCTCTGAAGATGGTGTGGAAGCCAGGTGCCTAAAGGGATTGGTGATGTTCTTGGAGAAAAGGGGCATCCCTAGCTATGGACCCTGGGCATGGGGGGCAAGCGGAGCTTCCTGTCCTATTAGTGCTTCCTTCCCTGTCCAGCTGCAGCCTTCAAGTCCATGCATAACTCTGAACAATACAACCCTGGGGGTGGCAGAGACCAAGGGCAAACAGGGAAACCTGCTCTGGCATTACTCCCAGCCATCCAGCAGCCCTATACAGAGCCTTTTGCCCCAGGCTGCTGCTGCCTCTGCGGCCTGGAGACCAGGGCTGGGATGCATGTTCATTGCAAAAGACACTCTGCTGCCTGCCCAGGGCCCAAGGAATTGCTTCCTTCCCAACTTTGTAACTGCTCAGATGCCTTTTGCTTCCCTGCCTTGGGGCTGCCAGCACAGCCAGGGTCAAAACACACAAGGCTCTTGGCATATCTCATCACCCCTGCCCTTACCATTCATGTAGATGTCCCTGCTGTATCAGCTGTCCAGGTGTTCAGGGAACTTGGCCAGGTAGCCAGGTGGGGCTGTGATCGTGCCTGCTGTAGCTGGCAGCTTGGAAGTCATGGGCGGTGCATGACCAGGGGTAGAACTGGTTTGCAAAAGGCAGGCACACATGGGCCAGTACCTGGGGCAGGAGCCACAGGCCTCCTGTAGGGACATTGCACAGCTGTTGCCCATGTACGTATTGGGGCCCAACCCAGCCTGTGGTACCCGGTGCAAGTCCCAGGGCCAGGGCTGGGTCCTAATACCAGCTGCACACAGCAGGGCCGGGTGCAGCTCCTGGCCCCAGGCTCCAGTAGGTGGGCAGCCACCCATGACAGCAGAGTGGGGCTGAGATGGCCCAATTCCATTGCTTGTGCCTTTTGCCTGAGTCCCAGGAGCCCCATGTGGCGGCAAAGAACAAGTTAGTCAGCCCAACCCCGTTGCTTCCAGCTCCCTGCACTTCCCACCTGAGTCCCAGGAGCCGCGTGTGGAGACATGGAGCTGGCCCAGCTCAGTGGTGTACAGCTTCCAGCTGGAGTGTCAGGCGCCCCACATGGCAGCATGGAGCTGGCCCAGCCAATGGTGCGTGGCTTCTCATAGCTCCCAGCTGGAGTACTGGTAACCCCATGTGGCAGTATGGAGTGCCAGGTGCCATACATGGAGACATGGAACTGGCCCAGTTGTGCACAGCTCTCAGCAGCGTCAGGCTGGCCAGAGTCCCAGGAGCTGCAGGTGCAGCACAGAGCAGGATGATTGCCTGCAAGGTCTCCCCTTCTCCCTAACTTTCCCCCAGCAGGAGTCCCTGAGGCCCTTCTTGCCTTAAATTCCGTTCTGGCAACTGTGGGTTGTACTCTGAGTGAAATGCTAGGGGAGAGTAGAGGAAAAGTAGACCATGCCATGTATTATCAGTAAGTGGCAACAAAATATTAAAATGGTAACATTTTACAGTTTGAGGTATTTAGTAGACCTGTACAAAGCTTCAGTTGCTGATTTGATTGAGGAGATTCAACTCAATTTGGTGGCTGAATCTCTGAATCTGAATCTAATCAGGAGACCCATTAATCTCTCTGGAGAGATTCAACAATTTGGCCATAGACACAGCTTTATGTATGGTGTTTTTGTTTTTTGTTGTTTTTTTTTCCTACATACCTTGTGTGGCTTGTGAATGCTGAGATGGTGGGGCAGATGGAGTGTTCCACAGGAGCGCGGTGGGGTGTGGGGGCTGTGCGCTCAGCGGCAGACCCGGAAATGGACCAGAAGTACTTTTGGTCTACTTGCAGGTCTGCCATGGAGCACACGGGAGACCTCCCCCATCTTTGCGACTGATGCCTCCTGGGTCTGAGGGGGTACCTGGGGTGTCCCCCGCGTGCTTGGTGATGGACCTGGAAGTGGCAAACACACTGGGGACCCACCCCTCCCGCTCCCCCCCCCAACCATCTCAGCGTTCATGAGCTGCACCTGGTACCTCGAGGTACATGTGAAAAACATAAAGCTGTGTCTATGGCTGAATCGCTGATTCTCCAAATCAGGACAGTGATCCGAATAGGCAAATCGAATCATTGTCCCCTGAATTGGGCCAAATCTGAGTTGAATACTGCCCGCTTCGCACACCCCTAGTATTTAGCTACTTTTTAATATATTTTATCATTCTGATTGTTTAAAGAATACTTTAACTTAAGTCACAGTTCAGTCCAAAATATGTTTACATGGTTTTTATACACCACACCTATAACTAGTGGGGATAGAGGAATTGTCCTTGCTTGTAATTTGTGTATTTCAAAATACTGTGATCAGGTTCAGTCTTTGTCCTGTGTATTCGTTTACTTATGTTAGATGAGCTTTTCAAGAAGGAAATGGGGAGAAAAGATGCATTTCACTAATAGGAAAGTGTGCCTTTGGAACCAGAAACGTCCACTGTGGTTTCAAGGGCATTGTATAACCTGGTGCTGCTTCTCTCTTTTTTTTACATTGGCTGGATTTCAAGTAGGTATTTTCTATTTAACATCCTATCCTACTTTCTGTTTCTAGCATATTGAATTTTGTAGGTCTTACTAGTTTGACTAAATAGCACATCACTAATTACAGCACAAATTCTTTACAATTTATCATATGTATGCTCAGTGTGTAGTTATCGATGTGCTGTCTCTCTGCCCAGTTACAAGCTGAGAAGAATAAAAATCATCCCTTGAATCAGATCTATGTTCTCTTTGAAATTGTTGGTGTAGGTGTTGTCATACCCAGATGAACTTGTCTGCAGCACACCGAGGACTTTCGGAGGTTTTTATTTAGGAGTTTATGAAATGCTGTGAAAATTGAAGTTGTGGATTTTTTGAGCTACTTTATAAACTTCATGGGGATTGAAAAAGTCATTTACTTTAGTAGAAGAACCTGTTCTTCTAATATTTGTCTTCTTTGACTTGCAGGTTCCAGCAAGATGTGGGGTGACTGTCCGGGATACTCTAAAGAAAGCTCTGATGATGAGAGGTCTTATCCCAGAGTGCTGTGCTGTTTACAGAATACAAGATGGGTATGATGAATGTGTGATCTGTCTTGTTTATACATGTTGGGGTTCTTTCAGGTTCTTGACCAGCACGAGCCTATTCCACCCCACTCTGATCAGTTTCACTGAATTCAGAATAGCTGCAAATTAGTAAACTGGAACTGTTATGGGGCAGGTTGTCACATGAGAACCTTTTTCTTTGGTTGGATAAAAAATCTAGTTTTTGGACCCAAGTAACCATCCATTTTCTACTGTCAGAGGTTTTTGTTACAGCTGATTTGAAAAGAGTGCACCTCTTCACTCTGCTTTGTCCAACAGCGGTGCAGTTATTTGGGGTCAACTCAGATTAATCTTTGCCATTTAAATTTCCAACAGTGGAAGTCTGAGCAGCAGACTTTCCACAATACCACAACCCCCTCAATAACAGCATTTTCACGTCTTCAGCATGAGATCTGCAACCTTACAGGTTGGTAACTATCAAGGGCTTTTTTGCACTTTAGAGAGAAGAAGCCAATTGGCTGGGACACTGACATTTCCTGGCTCACAGGAGAGGAGTTGCACGTGGAAGTCTTGGAGAATGTGCCGCTTACCACACACAATTTTGTATGTACTGCTTTTAATGAAATGTCTAAAGTGTTCGCTGGAATGACATCTACATTGATAATTTTTAAAAATTAAAATAACTTTGTTTTTTGAATGAAAAAAAGTCTTTGGTGTAGATTGTTGCATAAGCAGTTACAATCAAAAAAGCTCAAGTGAACCAGAGCTTACTGTAATTAAGGTAATTGACAGTAACAAAAACACAGCTTAACGTTTTCAAATTTAGATGTGATACACCTTCCAGAATCTATAAATCTAGACTCTTAAAATCAGCACTGCATTGCAGAGTGATGGTAATAATAGACTATTTTTGTGTTGCTATATCTATAAAATGTATTCTTTGCTTCCCTGCTGGCTCTGCAGCAGCAATTAACTAACGAACTAACTATTCCCAGAGCTGTGCTGACATCATCTCTGATGCTGGTACACAAATATGTTTTGACCTGATAAGGCAGTACGTGAGTGGAAGCTGTTAAGCAGAACCCATCTGGATCATTGCAGCTCCACACAGAAAATAATGGAAATCACGTTTATCACATGAAAAAGGGCAAAATCTAAAGCAAAGCACTGTTTTGTAGCTTCTTAAATTGTATTCCACAAAGAGTGAACAGCTAAATGAATGCCTAAAAGTTAGGTAAACACTTGATTTGTTTTACTCAGGAAATCTTGCTTGGGATACTTTTAGGCTGGTAATGTTACTGAAGCTGAAAACCAAAACAGCGCTAATTTTTGTTTTATAGTGTTTACATGTCCACATTTTGCTTCTTCAAACTCTTCCAGGTTTTACTGCTCAACTATAAGATATTTGAATGTTCCTTATCCCCTGAATTTGTTATAGATGTCATCTAGTTGCTCATAAAGCTAAAAGCATTCCCAGCGTGTATTAGAGGGGAGTTATTTTAAGTATCTTGACCCTTTTTTTTCTTTTGCTTGTTTTTTGTAAGGTGAATGGCTTCAAAATTAACATCTGTTTGAATTTATGGCCTAGCATAGATATTCTGTGGTACTTTGTGTATAGTCTTGCTGCCATCATACTTACTGTTCATGACATAATGCACTAATTCTGCTAATGGGAATTTTCTGTGCCCCACCGTTGCCCCCTCTCTCCCCCCAAAAATCTGATTTTTAAACTTGGATGCCTAGGGATAGCCACTTAAATCTTCATATAAGGAGCTTAAGTGCATGTGATCTGTTAGATGTACTGAAAGTACCTTCTCCAGCTGAAGTCAGTAGAAGTTGTAGGTACATACACCTTTTGAAAATCAAGTCACTGCCTGAGTGCTCAATTTAGGTGACTAACTTCAGACCCCAGATCTGAAAACTCTGGCCTGAATACTTCTGTTTTTATAATCCAGTTTGTTTTATATCATCTTTATTTTAGTCTGATAAACTGTTGAAAGGAAGTCCTAATGTTTGATAATTAAGTCTACTTCAAGTAGAAGACCACAGTGGCTGCATCTACTCTTACTACTAATGCGCCTGAATTAACTACCGTGCAGTTTGCGCAGGTGTTTATTGCTCCTGGGTGCAGCATTTACACATGAGCCTGGGTGGAGCAGCCCCAGATGGCTGAGGCCCCGGGGACTCAACGTGTTGTGGAGGGGCTGGCTGGGGCACAAGGGTGTTACACTGTAGGGATAGCCAGCAGGCACCCCCGCATCATAGCACTTTTGTGCCCCAGCCAGGTCCAGTCACTGTCTGTGCGTGTTTTAGTTCACTAAATAACTTGTCCTGGCCAGTACTATCCTACAGTGCAGTTACTTGGTTTACTACAGCTTACTAGTGCCGCATGTTTAGATGGTGATGTGTGACCGTGGAGCAAATTAGCCAGCTCGACAGTAAAGTGCACATGTAGATGTACCCAGCATGTATAAAATAACTTTTGCTCATTGTGTATATAATCTGTATCTCCAAGACCCAAAAAGAGAGTAAAAGCATATGACATTTTATATTTTAGTGGAAGTAAATAGTTTGTGTCAGGCTCACAAAAATGTCTCATCTAACTGTAATTATTTTTGACACCACAGGTACGAAAGACATTTTTCACTTTAGCGTTCTGTGACTTCTGTCGAAAACTGCTTTTCCAGGGATTCCGATGCCAGACTTGTGGTTATAAATTTCACCAGCGCTGTAGTACAGAGGTCCCACTGATGTGTGTTAATTATGACCAGCTTGAGTAAGTAATCAAAACTCCTAACTTTTGTTTTTTACTTCAGACTTTTGCTGAGTTTCCATATATAACACACACAGTTGACAGATATAATTGAGAGTGAAGAGAAGCACCAGAGAAAATACAGTAGTCAAATTTAGTTCTTGTTTTCAGATATGCTGATGTTCAGTTTACCAGTTCATTTTTTTTTTAAGCGTACTGTGAAATCCTTTCTTAGAAGATGCATAGAAGAGGTGGCATCTTCTTGATGGCACAGGAAAAACCTGGCATTGGTTGCAGTTATCACTCTACAGTGAAATATTTTTCTTAAGGAGATGCATAGGTCCTATCTGCAATGTTTAGATGCAGATTTATTATCTTTGACCACAGATACCATAGAGTTCCCTAGATCCATAAGGTTGAATTTGAATTTTGTTTTACATTTCTGGTTTCACAGAACTAGGTAAAAAAGATGTGGACGGCCCCACCCACTATGGCTTTTTTGAATTTTTTTTACTCAGTTTATTCTATACTAAGTTCCCTAACCAAAATTGATGCTCCGTCTGTAGTCATCTTACTTCTGAATACAGGGTCCGTTCAGTTTGTCAGCTTCAGGAAAGCCATTTAAATAGATTTTAACCCTTCCAAATGTTAGTTCTTGAAAAATTTATTTACTTCTTCCTTATGCTTGCATTCATTGTGGTTTCCTTAGGCACTTTTAGATAATGAGCTCAGAGGTGTGTATACCATAGTTTTAACGCCATTTGGCAGTCCCTTCTTAGAATTACGTCAACACAGCTTTCCAATTAATTTGCTATGAATTAACATGTAGGTAAAATTTGCATGTTTGTTCTACTGCCTAGCAACCAGGTTTTTCTTTACTGCTTCAAGTATCCTAAAGATATTTCAAAATTACTTGATACAAGAAGATGTTTAGGGCACTAACTCTTGCTCCTTTGCAGTTGAGTTGCAACTTACGGAGCATGTCAATGCATTCTTTATTGTAAAATACAAAATTTAATCCATAATTTTTACTTCCTTAGTGTATTGTGCTGTGAAGCTTTTGCGTTTTGCACAAGTTAGGTTTGTTTTTGTTCTGTTCTTACCTCACAGTTTGCTGTTTGTCTCCAAGTTCTTTGAACACCATCCAATATCACACGAGGAGGCCTCATTAGGAGACACCAACCAAGCATCTGGATCGTACCCCTCTGTGCCCCCCTCAGATTCTGTTGGGTATGACATTATTCCTGCTGTTTAATTACATGATATTCTGATAGTTTGCCTTCATATGTATAGGATAGTGCTTCACAGCCTCTCCCCAACCTGCACAATTAGTTCCCAGGTGTATGAATGCTTGCCCTTGTGCTTAACTTGGTTAGTCAGTGGTATCATAGAAGTAAATAGGAGTATTCACATACTTGAAAAGTAGGCACATGGCTAAGCATTTCCAGGATTGGGGTCAATCTTGTACTGTATTTTCTATAGTAATTTAGGCCTAATCTAAGCTGGAAAGTTTTTTGTTTTTGTTTGTTTTTGTTTTGTTTTGTATATCTTTAGATTTTTGTCAGTGTAAAGTGCTTTACATTTATACACATTCTCTATTTTGGCTCTGTGTTGCATTCTGTTCCATTAATTAATCAATTTTGAAGTGATATAATTTGGTTCTGGAATAAGTTATATCAATAATGCTACAAGGTTTATATGGACGTATTCCTATTTCAGATTACGTATATTACTTCAGGCAGTCTGCCCATTATTATCCCACAAACACATTGCTGCACATTTAGAAGGGTCTCCCTGATTACTTGTGCTTTGGGATCCTCTTGAATGGGTGTCCCCCTTTGTTTAAATTCTGGTGAACACTCAGTTTGCATCTATCGTGACTCCATTTTATGGTAAAATCTTAAGCCTCGAGCCCACAACTGTCCCTATGCCCTATGTACTTGTATTTTCCTGTCGGAGTCTTCCTAGACTTATGGGGAGAGGAGCTTGTTTATTGTCATCTTTCTAGTAGTCAGCAAAATGCCAAGCACTACCAAGCAGCTAGCAGAGAAAATGCAGGAGATGGGGTTCTTCTGGGACATGTGCCAGTGCTGCATGAAAGCCAAGAAGCTGATACAGAATTACTAAAAATGCCAAAGATGACAAGGACTCTGGTAATGCTGCCAACACATGTACTATGTACTTCCAACAATGCTATACTGTGATGAACTGGCCTGGCCATTTGTGAAGAGGCCACCACAGAATCCTTGCATTGGTTGGCGGTTTGGCAACAGCCCTCAGTGAAGCAGACACCAGTGGAAACTACCCAAGGACTCTTACCAAGAGGAAGTTCCCCGTGATAGTCAAGGACCTCTTCAGGATGGATCCAGCTCAGTAAATGATGGGAGACCCAATCAGAGATGTTCTGGAGACTCAGCTCTAGAGCTAAACTGACCACACTACAGAGGGGACATCATTCAGTAAGTATTTAAATGTTATAATACTATTGTTGGCCCCATTTGTACCTATTTAGGTAGATTTGCAAATGTTCCAGATTCTGGCTGTTTGCCTTTATGTTTATATGGATATTGCTAAAGCAGGTGATGGATGTGTCTATCTGTCATATTACCGTATTTACCCAAATGAAACATGTCTTGGAATTTAAGATAACCCCCCAATAACTAGATCCTAGACATGGAAAAATTATACATTTTCCATGTCTAAAATCTAATTACTGGGGGGTTGTCTTAAATTTGTTCCTCCTACCATTGCAGCAGGGCAAGCAGCAAAAAGGGGGTAGGCTGAAGGGGAGTCAAGTGACATGACTCCTGCCCCTTGCCAGCTGCTTCCCCCCTTTCCTTCCCCAGTGCCTGTACCCCCTGGTACCTGCCCTCTGTCACTTGCAAACACTGCATCCAAGGTTGTTCCTTTTTAGTGAAAGAAAAAAGTGAGGAATGAGTTAGTACAGAGCTCTTCAACTTCTGAGCTGCTGGGGGCTGCATGTCTTTTTTTCCCTACCCCCACACTTCCTCACCTGCACTGTGCTGCACCCGAGGGCAGGAAGTGGAAACTGGAAGAAGGAGGGGGAGCCTGGAGACCCCCAGTAACAACAGTAAGGGACTAATAAGAGTGGTGCCTGGGCCTGGAGTTGGTGTGCTTTGCATTTAACCCCTCACAGGCAGTACTCAGACTGCCAGTTTGACCGCCCCATATTAGTACATTATTAATTAGATTTCCATTAAATTATTGCCTTGACCTTTATAGAAGTAGGATTTTCATACATGTGAAGTTTTAAATGAGGAGAGTTGGTCACTTGAAGTTAAAGAGCTTCTAGGAGTCTCATGCTGTAGAGATTCTTGGGCATTTGCAGATGCACCAGATATAAAAAATGTCTAGTTTCCCACCAAGCACTCTTTTGTTGCAGTACCTTGCATTGTTAAACACAACACAGGATGTGCATCACAGCTGTGAAATCCTCTGCGTTATATTTTGTCCTGATCAGCCAATACTATAAATGAATTTAAGCCACAGTAGCAGTTTAGTTTAGCATGTACACTACAAGGCAGTTACAATGCTGGGGGTAGCCCTGTCAGTAATGTTTCTTTTCAACTATAGCAGTAGTTTGAGCCGTTGCCCTAGTTAAATAAGTGTTCCATATCTTCCTGGTTGTCCCTTTCAGAGGCAAAACCCTTTTCAGCCTTTTTGGGCTGCAACTCAGAGAGGTATACATAAGTGTAGGCAAGTTGCAGGAGTGTAGATAGTGTTATGTGCCTGCACCCTGAAGACACCCACACAGTTTAATAGTTTTGAATGGCCCAAGGTTGGGAAGAGCAGAATAGGATAGAATTCCAAAACTGAAAACGTTTAGAGAAATAACACTTTATCATCCATAGTACAGTGGCTAGTATAATGATATGGTAATTACTTCTGTGGCTTTTGTGTTCTCTTAGTACTTGGCATGGCACAGCACACGTGGAAAGGGATGCTAGCAGCTATCTTGCCAAACCCTGAAAGAAGAAGAAGCCAAAGGAAGAAGTTTACTCACCTCATAAATCGGTTCCAGCAGATTGCAAAAAACCCAGAAGAATGAAAGGAAGGATTCATGCTGTAGGACAAGCATGAGAGAGAGGAGGTTAGGGCACGTGCACTTCCTTGAAAACATCTCAGCATGGACTGATTGGACAGAGAAAGGGACATAAAGGAAAGTATGTTGGTGATGATGCAGAATTGGACAAGTTTACTAGAGAAAGTTGTTGTACTGCACTCATACTTAACTCCCTAACTTAATCTTGTTTTGGTGTCTTTCTTTTTCCCCAACTGCAAGGTACAGGTAGGTCTCTGCATCCATCCCCAAGACAAGGGAATATTCTCTTGATTCTACTTTCTTTTCACATTTTTGAGACCCCGTTTGCCACTAGCATGTGTTCACTCTACGTTTTAGCTGTTTCTGCACTGTTTTAGTTCTTTTTAAGTTTGCACTGTCTTGTTATGTGCTAAATACTTAGTTTTTATTAAAGTACAGTTCACACAGAGGATGGCCATTCCCAATAAAATTAAATTCACAGTAAACAATGCATTGTATTTGTTCCTTGATTACATTCATTTTTCCCTCCTATCCCTATTATTAAAATGAGCTTCCTTGAACTTACTTCTTTGGCCCTGAAGCACATTAGAAGCATCCCCTCTGGCTATTTATAATAGCTACTTGCAGACATTAAAAAAACAATCAAAAAACCCTAAAAAACTGTGCTTTGCTGGACTTGTATAGATTGGGTGCTTCAGTGGGGTTTTTTGGCATTTTTATCTAATAGCTAATTCAATCAACTTCTGTGTTTTAGTGGCTGCAAGCAGCCAATATTCCAAAAGTCTTTCTACTTCTCTCCCCCATTCTTTGAGGCTTTTGTTTATTTTTCAGATATTTGTAAAACACAGCAAGCATCTATATTATGAGGCAGATACCTTACAGAATTCTCCTGCCTGGTCTTCAGACTCTTTTGCCTCCCATATAACCTTTGAAAAATGTACTCCCTTGTCATTCTGCAGCTACTCAGAGAAAGGCTTTGTAAGTGAAGAAAGCAAATACTGCATGCCTAGCCTTACATAACAACTGGAATCACCACAATATTTTTATCTGCATTTATTTTGGGAGCAAAAAGTTGTGTGGGGGTGTGTTTCTTTTTCTTTTCTTTTCTTTTTTACTGTGTATATGTATGGCCTCCCCCCTTACTTTTTTGTAGGTTGCTCACTGGAAGCTTTATTTATGTCATGATGGACCTTTCCACACCTCCCCATGTAAATGTTATCCTTTCACAGTTTTTCACCAGGCCCCCCATGACTATCGAGCATTATCTCTTTGTGTTGATAAATCACAAGCTCGCTGGTAGACAGATAAGAAGTGTGTGGGTTCTCCTAATAGCTCCAGCATTCAAAGATGTCACTAACTTCCTGGTATTGGCAAACTTCGATCCAAGTCTAAACAGCAGTGCAGACTTTCATGAAAACAACTCTTGTACCTGATTACTAATACCAGGCTGATCAACTACAGGCCAGTACTACTAGAAGTAGTGATTCTGGTGGTAGTGGATACATTCTTCTTCTGTACACTGAGGTGAGACACTCCTGTACTACAACTCCATATTGAATTTTTGTATTGATTTTCCATGGAAGTAGCTGTCTGCCATCTTTGCTGGTCACTGCAGGTGTGCAACATTGTCCTTAACAGTTGTTGCAGGTTGTTCAGGACTGGAAGTAGAGCTCCAACAAATACTACAGGCCTGTGAAAATGCAGTGCAAAAATAGCCACAGAAGTAGCCGCTCCTCTTCTAGCAAGATCCTTGTATCATCACAGCAGTTAAGAGTGACAGTCTTCCATCCTCCCCAGCTCCTGCTTGCGCGCCAATACATCTGGAATACCCTGCTTGTATTAATGATACTCTCTCCAAGTTGCTTGGTGATGCTTTGGAAATTTGTTTGAAACTAAGACAACTTGACAGTGAATTCTGGCTTTTAAAAAAAGAAGGTATATTTTTGGGCCAAAGTGAAAGAAATCATGGGAGTTTGACCCAATTTTGACCCAAGTCTTAAAATTCCAGTAGATCTTGATATATTTATCTGCCAACCCTGATAAACAGCCTTTAATGCATTGAGCCAGCAGTGAAACATTTTTCCCAGGGGTACCTGTGCAGAAAGTTGTATGATTTTAAAAAATCTCAGTGGCATGGATGTTCTGATTTACAAGGGGGATGGATCAA